AAAGACCCCATATTAAATACTTATTAAAGACCCCATATTAAATACTTATTAACCGAGAGTGAGGCCTTAACGGGAAAATTGCAAACCGAGACCTTGCAATGTTAACCGAGCGATAGCGAGGTCAATGCGGCACTGCCGAGCTCGAGCTTTGAGATTTTCCCGTGACTGAAGACTGAACATTCGAGGTTAATAAGTAGTTTATTAAATGGCTTATCAAAAGCTGTTTGGCTGTGTTATTCGTCCCGTTCGGCACCAAGTAGATCCTAATTTAACATTGTGAATTCGCTGTTCTTCTGATAATATAATTTACTCTCAGAGTTTTCCTATCACTCATCGTTTTCAGCCGCAACAATCTTCAGAAAAACAACTTTAATTACCCTTTGCCTTGTTTTTTTCAGGCGGGTAATCCACCAGTGGGCATTACATGAGAATAATGCCCTAGAATTAACCAATCCGAACTCGCGTTATATCGGCTACAAACAGCAGCCAAATAATAATGCATGTCATTGCATGGCTAAAATATCTGACAGAACAGTTTGTAACATATAGTGGAGTGCTAGTGTAAACAATGTAATGAACGGCGTTAGTGACTGTTAAGGTTGGTATTCACTAGAGCCTAAGCACAAGCACAGGCATAAGCATAAGCACAAGTGAAAACAGCCGCAACATAAACATAAGCAGAAGCAGAAACATAAGAAGAACAAACCCACTTATTTGTCTTGTGCTGTTTTCACTAGTAACGCGTTCGACATAAGCATAAGCACAAGAAAAACAGAACTGTTCGTTTTCCTTGTGCTTATGCTCTAATGAAAACCAGCCTTTAGTGTTGGTGACTTTTTAGTATACCCCTACTAGAGAACCCTAGAGGGATACAAGAAACCACGGGGAATATAATTTTATGCCACCTTACTCATTCGACTCTTACTGATGTTTTGCTTATGTTTTTAAAATCTGACCACCGGTAGGCCATAGGGTAGGCCGCAGGGTAGGCCATGGCCTACCCCACGTTTTGTCCANGCGTTAGTGACTGTTAAGGCTGGTTTTCACCAGAGCCTAAGCACAAGCACAAGCATAAGCATAAGCACAAGTGAAAAAAGCCACAACATAAACATAAGCAGAAGCAGAAACATAAGAAGAACAAACCCACTTATTTGTCTTGTGTTGTTTTCACTAGTAACGCGTTCGAAGTAAGCACAAGCACAAGAAAAACAGAACTGTTCGTTTTCCTTGTGCCTATGCTCTAATGAAAACCAGCCTTTGGTGTTGGTGACTTTTTAGTATACCCCTACTAGAGGACCCTAGAGGGATACAAGAAACCACGAGGGATATAATTTTATGCCACCTTACTCATTCGACCCTTACTGATGTTTTGTTTGTGTTTTTAAAAATCTGACCACCGGTAGGCCATAGGGTAGGCCCACAGGGTAGGCCATGGCCTACCCCACGTTTTGTCCACACCCCAGTAATGTCCACAGAAGGTGGATTAAACTGATGGTTCATCTACGTCAGGTGTAACACTGGGCTCAGTAACGAAACACACTAAGATTAAACATATTATTCTAAACTCCTAAGCGATGGACCATCATGTTTTGGAGGAGAAGGTTGGGCTA